GGGTCCTGGCTATACCCGATCATACAGAGGAGGAGGAGGAGGAGGAGAGGAGGAGGAGGAGGAGGAGGAGGAGGAGGAGGAGGAGGAGGAGGAGGAGGAGGGGAGGAGGGGGAAGGGGGAGGGGGAGGGGGGGGGAGGGGGAGGGGGAGGAGGAGGAGGGGAGGAGGAGGAGGAGGAGGAGGAGGAGGAGGAGGAGGAGGCGGAGGAGGAGGAGGGAGGAGGAGGAGGAGGAACATCCGACCCACTCACACTGTGACCCACTCGTGCTCGGATGCACTCGCCCTCGGACTCATGCACACGCACAGATGCACCGGCACGCGGGCTCGCTGCCACGCAGACTCACCGACGCTCGGGCTCACGCACCACCCGCGTATAGAATCTCTCGCCTCGGACTCGATCATATTTCGACGGTGGACAAACCTGCCTTTAGTAAACCTCCCCTTAGTGAAAACGGCCTGGGACCGAAACCGACGGACCTTGACCTGCAAAAATGACGGCCGCGACGCCCTCTCGCGAACCGAAAACGGCCAATTCCTTAATCGACGTGTCAGGGTAGGAGCTCGATCCACCTCCGAACATTCAGGTGCAGTGGAACTCACGAACGCCCACACTCGCTCACGCTTACACCACTCACACCTGGCTGCAATATTGCTGAGCTCCGTCTCGATGCGATGGAGCAGGCACGGCAATCGGGCACCCCAGGGAGGAGCCGACAGGAGGTATCTCAAGCGTCCGTTGGCGCCCAGACTGTGGAGATGTATCGAGCGGTGCAGTCGGTTTCCGACGGTTGCTCCTGCCGCTCGGGAGCCTCATGGCCACCGCGGTATAGCAGGGATGGCACTTGGGTGACCCAAGGAGGAGCCGCCAGAAGGTATCTCTGGGGTACGTTCGCGCTCCGGTTGCGGTGATGCTTCGAGCGGTTCGCTCGTTTTCTGACTCTGACTCCTCTCAGTTGAAAACCTCATGACCACCGCGGCATAGCAGGCATCGCACGAGCCTCGTGGTCACAGCGGTCTAGCCAGCATGGCACTTGGGCACCCCAAGGAGGAGCCGCCAGAGGATATCTCACGGGCCCGTTCGCGCCCAGATTGTGGGGATGTCTCAAACAAGGCGCTCGATTGACGGTTCCGACTCCTCTGATCTGAGAGCCCCGTGATCAACGCGATGTAGCAGGCATAACGTTTGACCCCAACGGGAGCCGCCAGTGGGCATTAGATTTGCCCGTTCGCACCTGGATCGTGGTAGTGCCTGGAGCTTCCTGATCCTCCTCCTCCTCCTCCTCCTCCTCCTCCTCCTCCTCCTCCTCCTCCTCCTCCTACTCCTACTCCTACTCCGCCTTCTCTCGCTCCCACGCGGGCCGCAGGGATGGCCCGAAGAGGCTCTCCAAGGCCACCTCCTTGCTCCCAGAGACCTCTCTGTTGACCCTGGTTGCCCGCTTTGGTTCACTACGTGCGTCCTTTCGCGCCTTTTCCAATCACCTCTCAGGGGCAGGGCTTCTAGATGGGCTGGTGGGGATGCGCGAAGCGTGAAACATCTGATGCCCCTGTGGTATCTCAATTGTTTTCGTGTGCTCGCTTCTTCGGGCTTCCGAGAAGCTCAGACGGCCCCATAGTCTCACAAGATTGCCCTCAGACGGCCCGAGAGCCCCCAGAGGGGGTCCCCAGACGGCCCGACATTTACCCCAAGACTGCCGCGACTGCCTCAAGGCTTCCGAGAAGCTCAGACGGCCCCATAGTCTCACAATATTGCCCTCAGACGGCCCAAGAGCCCCCAGAGAGGCCCCAGACGGCCCGAGATTTGCCCCAAGACTGCCGCGACTGCATCAAGGCGGCCCCCAAGGCGGCCGTGAGAGGAGCCCCCCGACGACCCGACAGTGCCCCAGTGCATCCCATCGGAAGCGGACAAGAGGGGGGTGTCCAAGAGGGGGGGGTGCAAATCATGACCGGCGGCATGTGCGCGGCCCAGCGGGGGGGCCTGGGACGTAATGAAATAAGAAGAGGCGCCATGAAATCTGAGGAAAAATCATGGCCCGCGCCATGAAATCCCCCCCCTAGTCATCACCCCCCTCTTTTCTGCTCCCGATCCCAGAGAGGCCCCAAGTCGGCCTCCAAATTCGCCAGACGGCCCGAGTGCGCCTGGAGGCGGCCCAAAGAGAGCCCCCAAGAGGACCCCAGAGGGCCGCAGGAGGTCCCCGAGAAGGCCAGCTATGGCCCCAGCGGGCCCCTCCCAGTGTTTCCCCAGTGGTGTCCCCAACAGCTGGGGGAAAACTTAGTCGAGCTGGGTTTGTTTTCGGGTTGAACGGGTTTTTGTAAGGGTTGGCGCGCTGCGGAGGCCCCAACCCGAAAAAAAACCAACCCGAAAAAAAAAACTCTTAACCCGAAAAAAAAAAACTCTCAACCCATAAAAAACCCGCCCTCCGGTTTTTGTTTCGGGTTGGGTGTTTTTTCGGGTTGGGGCCTCCGCAGCGCGCCAACCCGAAACAAAAACCTTTCAACCCGAAACAAAAACGCAGCTCAACGCAGTCCACCAGCATGGTCGCACTTTCGCTCGACCGTTCGCTCGGCGTTCATCTAAGGCAGGGGCGGCGGTGGCTCGCCGTAGGCGCCTTCGATCCGCCGCCACCGTGGCCTGCTGGAGAGTTGGGGGCACGCCAAGTCTTATGGCTCTTGCTGACCCTTCAACAGGGCTCCCGGTGGCCTCCCACCCATCCTGCCGCCACTGCAGAAATCAGATGCAAAACGGCAAGGATGACCCCAAGAGAGCCCAAGATGGCCCCAAGATGCCTCTGGGACGGCGCACGAGGGCCCCAAGATGGCCCCAGAGGCCCCCGAGACGCTCCGAGAGGGCTCCGAGGGAAGCCGCAGGAGGCCCGAATCATTGACTTCCGCATGCTTTCGGGGATGGCTTGCGCGTTCTCGCCTCCTCCTCCTCCTCCTCCTCCTCCTCCTCCTCCTCCTCCTCCTCCTCCTCCTCCTCCCCCTCCCCCTCCTCGCCTCCTCCTCCTCGCCTCCTCCTCCTCCTCCTCCTCCTCCTCCTCCTCCTCCTCCTCCTCCTCCTCCTCCTCCTCCTCCGCCTCCGCGAGGCCCCAGACGGCCCAAGAGGCCCCCAAGATCAGCCCACAAGGGGCCCCGAGGAGGGCCTCACGCCAGCCTGCGAGAGGGCCCCACGCCTGCCCCGAAGAGTCCCGAGGGGTCCCCAAGACGTTCTAAGGAGGAGGAGGAGGAGGAGGAGGAGGCAAGGAGGAGGAGGAGGAGGAGGAGGAGGAGGAGGAGTAGGAGGAGGAGGAGGAGGAGGAGGAGGAGGCAAGGAGGAGGAGGAGGAGGAGGAGGAGGAGGAGGAGAAGATATATCCCCAAGACGGCCCTACGAGAGCCTCCAGGTGGCCGAAGAGAGCCCCAAGAGGCCCCTACTGAGGCCCCAAGAGGGCCCACATGGATCCGCAACAGGACCTAGACTACACCAGATGGCTCCCCCGGTGTTCCTCCAGTGGTTTCCCCAAGCGCTGGGGGAGCATGCAGTTCACTAGCATGGCCGCACCTTTGCTCGACATTTCACCACATAGGCATTTCCAGGAAGGCAGAGGGCGGCGGTGATGCGCCCGAGGCGTCTTCGATAACATTACACCCTCTGGGATGTCCCCCTGTCTCTGCCTTTCCCCTTCTTCCTGTGAGCGACAGCCGCGTGGAACGCACATTCTTAAACGCCTCAGCAGGGGGCCTGAGCCAGGGGGCCCGACCAACAGATCAGGCGCCAGAAAAAAACAGTGCCATGAGCGAACGAAGCGAAACTTAAACAGATGAGCGCGGCCAAACCCGCGGACAAGCGCGTCCCAGGAGCACGGCGCACATCGGCCTTCTGCGAGGGCCGCGCGCCTTCCGAGACGAAGCCTCACGGAGGAGGGGCGGATCCCCTGCGAGAAGCCCCCCCGTCGTCCGCGGAGACGACCCCCTCGGCCTGCCCTCCTGTGAGCGTCGCCCGAACTGAAACAGCATCTAACATACTCCTCGCGGCCGCCACGTGGCGCGGAGCGAAAGGTCCTGGCGGAAGCGGGCTCTGCCATGGTAGGGAGCCACCTGCGAACCCTTCCCCTACCCCCCACGATTTCTGAGGGGGAGGGTGGGGTTCACTTCGTTCGGGAGCTCCTGAGCGAAGTGAACCCCGCCCTCCCCCGCAACACTCGTGGGGGGCAGGGGTAGGGTTCGCAGTTGGTCCCCTACCTCGGTGGCGTTCCCCGCGACCAGCCCTTCCTCCCAAGCCGCTCCTGGACGGCCCTGCCGGCCCGGCTCGGCCCCGAAGGGACGACGCCGAAGACCTCCAGGACTGGGTCGGGCATGTCCTCCTGCAGGCGGGGACAAAAAATGAAAGTAGTCAACTAATTTTGAAAAATTGTGGAATCAGTATTCGATACATACACCTGTGTATCTATATCTATATATATATATATATATATATATATGCATACATAGATGCACGTAAACGTCCCCAGACTATCTTTTGACATGTCTCCTGTACAGGGACGTGCCCGACTTGACCACCGAAGACCTGCAGGACCCCCTCCCTCCAGGACCCCCCTTCCTTCACTCGGCGTCGAGCCCGGGGGGAAGTGAGAAGGGGCGGGCCTCCTCAGAAGGCTCGGAAGCCCCCCGGCCTCCTGAGAAGCTTTTTCTGAGCCTTTCCCGAAGACGCAGAAAGCTTCTCAGAAGGCGCGAGGGCTTCTGAGAAGTGCCGGCGCCTTGAGAGAAGGTTTCGGCTAGACGTAAGAGTGACCCTGGGTAAGAGTGACCTTTGGTGCGCAGCTTTTGGGGGCGCGAGGGAGCCAAAACCAAGGGCGTGGGCCGCGAATATCGCATCGCGCTCGGCGATCGGGGGGAGCCCGATGAGCCCGTACCAAAGGTCACTCTGGCGAAAGGTCAGAGGAAGAGGAGGAGGAGGAGGAGGAGGAGGAGGAGGAGGAGGAGGCGTTCTCCTTCTCACTCCCCCCCTCGCTCGCCGCCGGTCCACGGCGACCTCTCGCAGGAGCCTTGCGGCCGCCCGGCCGCAGCGGAGGGAGCACCCGCGAGGCCGCCGCGAGGCGGCGTCGCCAGCGGTGCGCAGCCGGGCGGCGGGGCGCTCGCACGGGGACGCCTCGGCGCGGGCCGGCGTCGCGTGCCGCTGGAGCCCCAGCGCAACGGGGAGCAAGAGCAGCGTCGACGACGCGCCGCTGCAGGGAGCCCGTCGGCGTGGCATCTCTGGGAGAGGAGTCGGGCCCTCGGGCAAGAGCGGAGGAGGAGGAGGAGGAGGAGGAGGAGGAGGAGGAGGGGGAGGAGGAGGGGGAGGAGGAGGAGGGGGAGGAGGAGGGGAGGAGGAGGAGGAGGAGGAGGAGGAGGAGGAGGAGGAGGAGGAGGAGGAGGAGGAGAGGATGGAGGAGGGGAGGGGGAGGAGGAGGAGGAGGCGCCTGCACAGCCTGCGCCGCTCCGAATCTAGGAGGCCCAAATCTCGAAACGCACGACCTAGTGGAACCTCGCAACCGCCCTGCCGTCAGTCCAGGGCCTGTGCGCAGGCGCCCCGTGGACGAGGGGAGAGGAGGAGGAGGAGGAGGAGGAGGGGAGGAGGAGGAGGAGGAGGAGGAGGAGGAGGGGGAGGAGGAGGAGGAGGGGGAGGAGGAGGAGGAGGAGGAGGAGGAGGAGGAGGAGGAGGAGGAGGAGGAGGAGGAGGGAGGAGGAGGAGGAGGAGGAGGAGGAGGAGGAGGAGGAGGAGGACGCCCTGCACCGGCCTGCGCCGCTCCCGAATCTAGGAGGCCCAGATCTCGAAACACACGACCTAGTGGAACCTCGCAACCGCTCTGCCGTCCGTCCAGGGCCGGAGCAGGCCGGCCGCGCACGCGGAGGCGGCGAGCAGCGCGGTGGCGGGCTGGGCCGCCGGCGGAGCGAGCTGGCTGCTGGGCGCTCGGCTGCCAGGGCACGGGGGGCAGGCACGGCAGAGCCAGACCCCCTCGAGTCATGAAAAAATCACGACGGAAGGTTATTCGCTACTTTCAGCCTCTGGGGGCCCTTGCCGGCCCTCGGGACCGTCAAAAAACGCCTCGGGACGAAAAACCGGTCCCGGCGAATAGGTCCAGACCTCTGGGGGTCGCGTAGTGAAAAAATCATGACGTCGGGGGCACGGCAGAGCGAGGTCTCGTCGTCAGCAGCACCTTCCTCCTCTCGCTCCTCGCCCTCCTCCTGCACTCCCCTCCCTCCCTCCCTCCTGCACCTCCTGCCGTCCCTTCTCCCTCCGGCTCCCCTGCCTGCCCGCCCCCCCCAGACCCCCGACGTCATGAATTTTCCACGACGTGGACCTCCCCCCAAATGCAATGTTGGTTTCGGATCTTCCGATTTTGGGCCTCCGAGCGGTCTTGCGAAAATCTGTCAACTTTGAATTGCGGGGAGGAGGGGAAGTGTTGCTTAATTGTTTCCCTCACCCGTACCTCAGGAGTCCGCGCAGTTGGCGACAGTTGCGCAGGTGGCAGCACACCAGGGAGCCGCGAAGTCTGGTCCGGATGCGCGTAGGGCACCACTCCGCTGGTCCTCCCAGGAGGCCGCGAGAAGTGGCGACGGTCGAAGGTGGGGGAGCCCACCACACCGGCGACGGCTGCGCAGGTGGCAGCCCACCAGGGAGCGCGAGGTCCAGTCCGGAGGTGCGTAGCATGCCGCTCCAGTGGACCTCCCAGGAGGCCGCGAGAAGTGGCGACAGGTGCGCAGGTGGCTGCCCCCCGGGGCGAGCGCGAGAGGACGGTAAGCATGAGACGGAGAGGCATGGGGAGGAGGCGGGAGGAGGATGAGGGGAAGGTCGCGCAAGCAATGCTCTATTCAATCAAAATAGATACCTCCACAGGAGTGCTGGAAAGTAATTGGATATCGATGGTGACCTCTTGGCCTCTGCTCGCTGCCCGCCCCCTGTCCCTGGCAGACTGGGCCTGTTCCTGTGGGCAGCACGCCGGTTGCGGGCACAACGGCCTCACTGCAAGCTGCGCCGGTCGAAGAACCTCGCGCAGCTTCCGGGCCGTCCCCAGCAACCGCGCGTGAGGCTGCCAGAGGTTCGCTGGCCCGCAGCTGCTCTGCATGCTCCTCCTCCTCATGCTGAACCACTTTGACTTCCCCTTGGACCACCACGTCTTCGCTGCGCTTGAGCATCGGGTTCATGTAATACTGCTTGTCCAGCATGTGGGTGGCGTCGCCGCACTTTTCGTCCAGCGCGCTAGCGTCCTCCAAAGACATGAAGTGCGCAGGCAAGGCGAAGTGCTTCCTGATTCCATACCAAGCAAATACTTCCAGAACGCAGAGCACGATCAAGGCTGAAAATTCCCCGTGCTCACCAGCGCCAAACGCCAAAGCGGTAAACGACACTGTCCCCAAGACAAGACCCATCATCGTTGTGTGGAAGATTTCGAACCAGCAATTGCCTTGGCAATCAAAGTCCATACTCCACACTGAAAGGCATAACCAAGTGTATATCAGGAAAGCGACCGCAAAGAAGAGCATGCAAGCAGGCATCAGGGCTGGAGCAATTACAGAATACAGTAGAGACAATACGAGCAGGATGCCCAGCTTCGTACACTCAAGTGGCAAGTCAGGGCATACGCGTGGGTGCTTAGAAATTTCGGCAGCCTGCGGACACGCTTTCTCAAGATCTCCTTTGGTGTCACTTTTCTGCTCAGGTGGTTCCTCACCTCTTGCTTTGTGTTGGTCGTTCTGGCGAGTGGCTCCGTCCCCTGGGGCAGATTTCTTGCCATGAATGGACTCGGTGATTGCGTCTAGTAGCTGCGGCTTGGGCGGGGAGGTCCACAGCGGTTGCCACAACAGTAGTGGGGTGGTCACAGCCATCTGAGCCATGATGTAGTTCAGAAAAAAGACCGACACTTCTGGCACAGCAATTCGCAAGATCTCGAAGATCTGGACGGGGTGCTCCACTACAGTGTTAAGCTGTTCTTGAATAGTGCTAGCCATGCGAGCACAAACAACGGTGACCCACAACGTGGCCAATTGGAATCTGAAATTGCGCTTCAGTGTGATGCACGCGATTTGAGACTGGATCTTGTACCTCTCATACCGTTGCGCAAACTGACTGCACACTATTGGAACGGCCATCTGCAAGACCACCAGTGCCAGAGCGGGCATGTACTCCTTCATGATGACGAGGCATCCGCCGATCCACCCCTTGCTGGGGGGACAAGAAGCGTGAATTGAGTCACGTTCCCCCCCTTCCCCTCCCCAAGAATCCCAGATCCTGCTTGGGGTGGGCGCGGACGGGGAAGGTGGATGCCACTACGCGCTCCACACCGCGCCTCCCAGGCCCTAAGACCGCTCAAGATTGCCAATCTTCGCTGAAAGGCCCCACCGCGTTGCCCCAAGGCGGTTCCAGCAAGACCCAACAGCACCATGGCTTTACATGTGTAGGACAACTCGTTCTCAAACTTGTGTCCTTGCTTGAGCACGCCGCACGCGTTTCTTTCCTATCGGGGTAGCATGCGAATTGCGTTCTGGCCCGCCACGCGGCCGAACCATGCGTTGGTCTGGAATGAACCTGTGATGGGGTCCTCACTGTTCCAAGCATCCACCTCCTGCGACAGGGATGTGAGGCATGAGGTACCGTCTTCACCAGCCCTCCCAAGTCCCAAAACTCTAGCGGGACTGCAGCGGTGTTACCATTCCGGTCTCCCCAGTAGCTGAACATGTGGCAGGCCCATGTGACACGCGACGCTCACCTTTCTACTGGGCCCTCGCCGTAGTGGGAAGGAAGAACTGCCTTGATCTATGCGAGGGGGATTTGGGACGGCAGGGAGTCTGGCAGCATCAGTGGCGTGTGATAAACTTACTCTGGACCTCCCGCTCTTCTTCCCCCTCATTCGCATTATTTTCAGCTTCACCTTCACCAGGGCACCCAAGCAACCTAGGACATCGTCACGAATCCCCTCGCTGGCGGATTGGGGCAGGGGCGTAAGCCTGTTGCATATTCTAGCTTTTTCGTCCCTGTACCACTTCTCTGGAACCCACTCAAGGCCTGCCCACACCTGAATTGAAGCCACGGGGATCGACCAGAATACAAGCCCGACCGTCAAGCCTGTGTCCACGAGGAGTGATCGAGAACGCAGTTGCCGGAGAGTCACAGCGGCGTTAGCCCAGAGAATGTCGGGTGCCTCTGGCGCTGCATGCACAATCCAATTTCTCGAGTGGGACAGAACCGTCTGCTCAAAAACTACTCGCTCGGTGACAGTGTTGAAAGTGACAACAGCTGTGGAGCAACTGCCACCACCGATGGTGACATCTTTCACTGCATGGAGTGCGTCCAGGGCGGCGTATGTCAATCCACCAATTTCCTCTGCGATGGGGGCGACCGTTTCTGTGGCCTCACGAAGTGTTTGATACAAGGTGAATTCACGATTTGTCTGGGGGGGCTGCACAGCTTCCTCTGCCACTGCTGGTTCGTCTGCCGCATCCTGCACCACTGTATCTGCTCGATCTCAGGCTGGACCGCTGGAAATCAACCCTGACCCCAGCTACAACGGTTTACAAAATCATTTGCTGCAATTGCGACCCCAGTCTGAAGAAGCCACCAGAAGAAGGGCGCACATGAACATCGAACGAAAAATCTGAACTATGATCGAACCACCAGATCCGTCCAGCAAGCTCGTGTCGTGACGACTTGCGCGTTTGCTGACATTGCGTAGATCCTTCGATCTTGAACAGTCGCGCTGTCCGCTAGCGCCGGGTCACTGGCGGCGTTCAACCTGCAACTCCCGCGCTGGAGTCGACGCCGCGTCGACACGGCACGAACCTGCTGTACGTAATCTCCCGCTGGGATCAAGGCTCGCTTCCAGCTGCCCGCTGGTGCCTGCAACGCATGCAGCGGCCCACGCAAAGTCTCTCAGGAAGTCGTCCCAACTGGCTGCACCGTAGGCCACGCAGCTCGCAGCCGCCCCAATCTTGGCACCGCTGGAGTCCCCCGTCCCGCCGTCCTGCGCGCCGCTCTCGCGACCGCCGCTCTCGGGACCGGCGCCGCTGGGCCCAGCGCCCCACCTCTTTGGCGCCCTGCCATCAGCACGGGACCCCGCCTCCTTGGGCTGTTCCGCCTCACCGAGCGGCTGCGCCGCCTCCTCGACCTTGGGCTTCGCACCCTCCTCGGACCGCCTCCTTGGGCTTCGCCGCCTCACCTTGGTCTCCCTGGGCTTCGCAGCCTCGCTGGGCGGCTGCGCCGCCTCCACGGACAGCACGACCGCCTCCTCCGCCTCCTTCCCTTCTGCCTTCGCGGCCTCCTCCGGCGGGGCCGCGCGGAGCCTCCCGAGCGTCCCCAGCCCCTCCCCGAGCAGCGCCGCTGGGTGCAGGCGGAGCCACCCCGTGCTCGCCTGGACCATGCACGCAGGGGGGCGCCAAGGGTGCACTGCGCCGGTCCCGGCCATGCCCCTCCCGGGCCCAGATTCGGTGTGCATGTCGTTCATTTCTAATCGTGCTCATTTCTAATTGTGCTCGTTTCTAATTGTTCCTGGCCCCCTAGTGGCCAGGAAGAGGCCCAGGATAGAAGCATTAGAGACCAGAGGATCTTGGCCCCCCAAAAAATCAAATAACGCTCGAATGATTAAAAAAATAATGAACAGGGTGTACACTTAAGATTCGGTCGGGCGTATCCTCCTGCAGGCGGAAGGTGGACGAAAGATGATCAACAGTCAACAAATTCTGCAAAGTTGTCAAACATAGTATAACAAAAAAGCCTGAACTATTATTTGGCTGTTTTTTGATACTCCCCCTAAGACGAAGCCATGACGAGGATCTCATCGGGCGAGGATGAATCGAGAATATCTGAGATCTGGGGGCTTTGGAGGATGTGTCTGGAGCCGCGGTCTTCTCAGAGCGCTCGCGCTGGAATGGCGTTTTATCCTCGTCCGAGCCCCGTCCGAGCACTCCTTCTTGGCTCAGCTGGTTTGGACCGCGGCGCTCAGGGCGCTTCAGACACGTCACGCACACGCGAGCTGATGGAACAGCGCGCAGGCGAAAAAATGGAGAGGGCCCCTCTTGGCCCCCTGGCCAGAGTAGGGGGCCACAGGCGAACCCTACCCCTATCCCCCACGATTTCTGAGGGGGAGGGTGGGGTTCGCTTCGTGGCCCCCTGGCCACGAAGCGAACCCCGAGCGAGGTGAACCCCCCCCTCCCCCTCAGAAATCGTGGGGGGTAGGGATAGGGTTCGCCCGTGGCCCCCTGGCCAGAGGTGCACCGCGCACCGACGCCCCGGAGGAGGGACCCCGGCCCCAGGGCCGGGGCGGTGCAAAGTTGGCATCCTCCGAGCACGAGTGCACGGAGTGGCTCGGGAGCAGGCGCTCGAAGAAGTCCCGGACGCCGGCGCCGTTGTCCGCGCAGGCGTCCCGAGGCACGGACTCCACCAGCAGCGAGCGCGCCGCCTGCGCGGCGCCGCGGCCGCGCAGGGCCCGCCCCGTGGCCGCGCGCTCGAAGTGCTTGGCGCGCAGGGCCACGAAGAGCCGCCACTCGCTGACGAGGAAGTGGAGGAAGGCCCCCACCTGGGCGGAGGGGGCAGAACGGGGGGGGAGGAGGAGGGGGGAGGAGGAGGGGGGGGGGGAGGAGGAGGAGGAGGAGGAGGAGGAGGAGGGAGGGGGAGGAGGGAGGAGGAGGAGGAGGAGGAGGAGGAGGAGGAGGAGGGAGGAGGAGGAGGAGGAGGAGGAAGGAGGAGGAGGAAGGAGGAGGAGGAGGAGGAGGAGGAGGAGGAGGAGGAGGCGTTCTCCCACGGCGCTCCGCCTGGACATAGGCCGCCCCCACTGCGACCCACAGCCTGGGCCCGTCCACCGACCAGCCGCAGACCATGGAGAGGCTCAGGGTGCGGAAGGAGGTCATGCGGAAGTCCTCGACGGGAGGCTCGACGTCCTTTGGGGGGAAGCATACGAACCCTACCCCTACCCCCCACGAGTTCTGGGGGGGCGGGGTAGGGTTCACTTCGCTCGGGAGCTCCCGAGCGGAGTGAACCCCACCCTCCACCCCAGAAATCGTGGGGGGGAGGGGTAGGGTTCGCACGTGGCCCCCTATCCTTGGCCGCCTGGCTCGTCGCGTACAGAGGCAGGAGCGCGAATGACGTCACGAGGGACACGGTGCTGAACTTGAAGCCGAGGACACAGACTCGGAGCATCACTGCCCCGTCGATGTTTGTGTCGTAGATTTCTCGCACTCGCCGCCTGGACGCCGCAATCCACCCGCACGGGCGACACCACATGGAGTCGTGCAGCAGAGGAGCAAGAATCCGCCAACTCCACGGAGGCCGCTGGGCGTCCAAGATTCTTCTTCTCCCCTCCCGGGCCTCAAGCGTCCGCAACACGGTAGGCACATACAGTGGAGGCCAGTCCGCAAGAAACCTTCCACAAGAGACCCAACCCTGAGACCCCAGGACGTCAATTGACTTGTGGTGTGGGCTGTCACGCTTCGCATAGCAAAACGATCGAAACCCAAGAACCCCAGGGCACCCTGGAGGCAAGCAGGGTGTTTCTTGACATGGGTCTCCACTTTACGACGAACACAGATTGCTGAACAAACCATACAAGCACATCGTGCGTCGACCTTGCGCTTCGCACGGCGCCTCAGGGGTCCCCCGGCCCACTGGGGAGACAGAAGAAATCGTGTACCTCTGGGTGGCATGCACATGTCTTATGCTGTGTGCTTACTGTGTGTCCCCGACGGCCCCCATGAGGCACCCAAATTTCTGGAAGCTTCCACCTGAAAACCCAAAGCCCCATCTCCGACACTCGAGAAGCAACCGAATGTTTGAACAGCGAACACGCACAGCTTAGCTGAACACTTGCCCTTTCAGAAGGGGCTGGCGACTGTGGCGTGAACTTCGCTGATACGTGAAACTCGCCGAAAAGAAATCAGGCAGCCATAGACGACGAGCTGGGACAACAGAATGATCAAGTTCAGCACGCAAGGCACTGACACCGACTGGAAAGTGTCAATGCTAATGTCACTGCTCTGCTCCGGCGCATTGGTGCTGTTCGTGGCTGAACCCACGTCTACCCACTCGCTTGCCTGCGAGATGCTGCTCATCGGCGCGACCTTGCCTTTCGCCGCGTCGCAAGGGGCGCCACTCTCAGTCAGGCCATGATTAGCTGCCACCCGTGCTGTTCTGGAGCTAAGGAGTCCTGGGTTCAAAGAGGCCTACGAGGCTTTGAGCCGACGTCGTAAAACATAAACCGTGCCATGAAGTATGCGCCAGGCAATACAGAAAGAGAGAGATAGAGAGAACAAACACATATATATATATAAAAGAGAGAGAGAGAGAGAGAGAGAGAGAGAGAGAAAAAAAAAAAAAAAACAATAAACACTGCCAACCAACAACGAACGATACATAATTTTTGTATGTTTTTGTCCATATATATATATATATATATATATGTGTGCGTGAATGTGCATGTATATGTATGTAGGCAAACGTGGACTCCAATCCGTGTTCTTCTAGCATGTTGGGTTGTACAACCTATGTGGTGCACTCTACGCTGTGCAGCAGCTTATGTGGCGCAGTCTATGTGATGCCACCTACGTGGTGAGCTATAGCATGTGCACTCCATGGTACAACAGATGTTGTGCAACCCATGTGGTGCAATCTACTCGGTTCACTATACAGCCGAACGTAGGACCAAGAAAACGATAAGTTAGGAAACGTGGGCCTGCTTTCCGAAGCATCTTAACACAAGCCTGGGCCACCTTACTTCTTCACGTTGGAGGGACGAACGCGCTTTGGAAACAGGGTCAACTTTCCAGCAAGTTGGTCAAGAAATGCTGGCCCAGTTTTTCAAAAAGAGGTTTCTTCATCACATGCTCGGACGCATGTTGTGCAAGGTATGTGGCGCAGTCGAAAGGGTACCATATGTTTTAATAAGTTGGAGATATTTGGAGTTCTCAGCCCCACGGCCCGCGCACTCATCCCACCCGCCCACCCGCAATTTGGTTTGCAAAACCCATACGGCGGCGACCGCGATGAGTGTTTGGTGCTGGCAGCTGCATCGCTGCGGCCGCGCCTGCCCGCGCGCGTTCGCGCGCGCAGCGGCGAGCTAGCCTGGCGCGACCGACGCAGCCGCGGTGGCACTGACCGCTGGGGGGTTCCCAGCGCGTCTCGCACGCCGCGGTTACGCGCGGGCACTTCAGTGCGAGTCGGCAGCGCGGGCGGGCGCGGTGTCATGGCGACGTCGGCAACAGCAGACCCGATGACGGTACTAGCGATGACGGTGGCGATGGTGATGATGACGACGGCAAGGCCAATGACGGCGCCGATGCTGATCACGCCTGTGACGATGATGGTGCTCACGCGTCGGTGTTGAAGGATTTGGAAAGATTTCGACACGCGCGCGCGGCCGACGGGCTCGAGTGGCCCGCATGTCATTATTTGTCAGGGACCATGTCCCCCCCAGCACGGGCGCGAGGGCGTTCAGATAAGATCGAAACGCGCTCGCGAAGAGGACCGTGTGGTCGCAATTACTATTTATAGATAGCGTAGAAGAACCGATGTTTGTTTCAGAAACTGCAAAGGCGCGCGCGAACGCAAGCATTTCTTGAACATTCACGTTGACAAACCATGTGTGTTCATATGTTTTCGGGACGCTCGATTTTGAATGATTTCCAAAACGATTTCGGCATGCGCGCGCGACGACGCGCGCGTGTACACTTCGCTCACTTGTTTGCACGGGATGCTTGGAATTTGATGATGAAAGACAAGCGAATGCGCGCGCGTAATATTTGTTGCAGGGGATGATGGGGGGAGGTCGATGACGGCTGGGCTGGGATGGTGTGAACTCATATTCGGAATGGCCGATGGGGCATAAACAAATGTAAACTGCACATCCCCAAGGGGAGGGGTATCCCTTGGGACGTAGATCCGAATGCCATCTGAGACAAGAATGTCTGCGTGGCGCAGCTCGCCCTGCAGAACTTGGGGTTGCAAGCTCCACTGCTCGCGCAGTCACCCCACTCACGCACCCGCAACTTGGCTTGCGCAACCCATGCGGCGGCGATTGCGATGACTGCTCGGCGCTGGCTGGCGCATCGCCGCGGCCGCGCTAGCGAGCGTGCTCGCGCGCGCAGCGGCCAGCTAGTTTGGCGCGACCGACGCGGCCGCGGCGGCGCTGACCGCTGGGCACATCCCAGCGGGCACATTGCTGCCAGTCGGCGGGTTGGGCGGGCGCGGCACCGCGGCAACGTCGACAACGGTAAACGCGACAATGATACTAGCGATTATGGCGACGATGATGACACTGGCGACGGAAAAGGCCAGTGACGTCTCCGATGTCGATCGCGCCGGCGACGATGACGACGCCCTCGCGTCCGCGACGAAGAATTTGGAAGGGGTTCGACGCGCGCGCGGCCGACGCGCGAGAAAGGCCCGCATGGCATGATTTGACCTCGATCGCGCCCCCCCCACCCCATGCACGCGCGCAAGGGCGGTCGAATGATTTCGACGCGCGGCGCGAGGGGCCCGCCTGGCGGAATTTAATGACAGATGCAAATAACCTACGATTTTCTGTGCGGAACTCGCAGGAGCGCGAGGGCAGGCATTTTTGAAACTTGCCGCCGCGAAGCCAGAGGTTCCGTGCAAGTTTTTTCGGGGCGCTCGATTTGGAAATCCACGCGAATCATCATTTCTGTTTCTTTGTTCCCAACCCTCCTGCGTTGGGTACTCGTTTTGAATAGAGCACTGCGGTCTCCACCTTCCTTCCTTCCTTCCTTCCCGCCTCCTCCTCCTCTCTTCCCTCTTCCTCTCCTCTCTTGCTTCCCTTCTCCGCCTCTCTTCGCTCCTCCTCTTCTCGCTTGCCTTTTACCTACCTAGCTTGCCGCTCGCCATCCCTGGGGGGCGGCGATCTGTGAAACTGCCGCCACTTTCGAGGCCTGCTGGGGGGCCCAGCGGAGTGACGCCCTACGGGGACTCAGATTAGACCTCGCCATCCCTGGGGGGCTGCGATCTGTGAAACTGTCGCCACTTTCGAGGCTGCTGGGGGGCCCAGCGGAGGGACGCGGGGATTCAGATTAGACCTCGCCATCCCTGGGGGGCTGCGATCTGTGAAACTGTCGCCACTTTCGAGGCCTGCTGGGGGGCCCAGCGGAGTGACGCCCTACGGGGATTCAGATTAGACCTCGCCATCCTGGGGGGCTGCGATCTGTGAAACTGTCGCCACTTTCGAGGGCTGCTGGGGGGCCCAGCGGAGTGACGCCCTACGGGGATTCAGATTAGAGTTCGCCATCCCTGGGGGGCTGCGATCTGTGAAACTGTCGCCACTTTCGAAGGCTGCGTGGGGGGCCCAGCGGAGTGACGCCCTACGGGGATACAGATTAGACCTCGCCATCCCTGGGGGGCTGCGATCTGTGAAACTGTCGCCACTTTCGAAGGCTGCTTGGGGGGCCAGCGGAGTGACGTCCTACGGGGACTCAGATTAGACCTCGCCATCCCTGGGGGGCTGCGATCTGTGAAACTGTCGCCACTTTCGAGGGCTGCTGTGGGGCCCACGAAACTGTCGCCACTTTCGAAACCTGCTGCGGGGTCCAGCATAGTGACGTCCTACGCGGACGCAGATTGGACCCGTCATTCTACTTCGATTATCCCGCATCTGCGATCGACTGTACGTGTGCGAGGAACTAGACATGGAGTGGTCTGGCACTGACTGACGTCAAATCGTTGTGTGCCAGTATCTCCTGGGGTGTTGCCTGATGTGGATGCAGCTCGTCGGCGATGCGACTCGAGCTGGCGGTCGTCCTTCGGACCCGCAGAAACATCTGCTGAGCTCGATGAGCTAGGGGAACTACAGGAAAGAAGTGCAGGAAACGGAGGCCTGTCATGCACTCGCCGATACCTCGTTGCTCTGTCATCGTCTTTGCTGTTGCATGATCCTTATCTGGCCTGCCGGCGCCGCGGCTCGAGCTGGCGGTCGCCCTTCGGGCCCGCGGGAACATCTTCTGAGACAAGTGGACGCCGCCGCCTTACTTGCAGGCAGCGCATTGCATTCGCGGACAGCAGCATGGCAGACCGCAGTGAGATCCTCAGTCGCGTGGTGTTGCCAAGCCTGGTGGAGACGCGCGTGATCGACCTGAAGTCCCAATCGCGCGTGCACTGTACCTGCGTGGCGTTCAGGCACGCGCGTGATGCTGCTCGCTCCGCGTTCAACCAGTACGTCGCCAGTGCAACTTTGGACGATGGACAACCGATTGATGATGCGCGACCCCGGCCTTGAGTTTCTTTCCCGCGGGCCGCCCGCAGACCTGGCGGCGCGCCTGCGAGCGTTCAGCTCCCGCGCTGAAATGTGCGGGAAGGAGGCGGAGAAGCTAGCGGGCGAGCTACGCCTCGCTCGTTCCTTGCACTCTAAACAAGTTTTATCATGTGGAACTCTGCGACGACATGGCGCAGGCAGCGCTGCGGGTTTAGCTCGCACTTGAAAAACGCGGCAGTCTTCTGTCTCCTCCCGCCACTTTCATCGTCGTCCTATTCCCCGCCTCACCTTCTCCATGCATGCTGCTGCTTCCGCGATGGCCTTTCGCCCCCCCCGCCCTCCATTCCATCCCTCTCCTACCCCTCGTGCCCGTGCCCGTTCTTCTTCGATCCTGGGGCCTCAATCCTCGTTCTTTCGATCGTCGCCCTGTGAATCGTGCAACGCATGCGCATCCCATGTAGCTTGCACAGCAAATCGCCGCGTCTACACTGTCGTTGTTCCTGCTAATGTTGGCATAGTCCTCTTGCCATTTGATGCACGTGGGTTGGGTACGTCGCAGGGTAATTTTTTGATTTCCGCACGCGCGTGCGACGGCGCGCGCGCGCGTGCACTTCGCCCTGGCGCGCCCGACTCAGGCGTGATGGGAGGCCACCCTCGACGTGGCCGCGCGCGACGTTGCGGCCAAGGCCCAGACCTCTGCGGGGTCCCCTGGGGGCAGCGCAAGCGCGGCGCAGGACTGGATCGGTGCGCGGAGCCGCTCGAGCTACACGGAGAGGACGGAATGGGCTGCTGTTCCCTAAAGAACTCAGAGCCTATAAAAAACTTAAATCCCAAAGCTCCCACCGTGCTCCTTACGCGCTCCCTTCTGTCGCCCCCCAATTTCGGCGCACTCCTCACGCAGATCCTTGCCCTCGGAGTGCCAGGAATGGTGTTCCGAGAGCTTTTGCAAAACGCAGGGCCGACTACCTACCAGACCACCCCAACCCGACCCGAAGACCCGAAGTTGACCCGAATTTCGGGTTGGGGGGGGTACGGGTTCCACGTGTTTGTTCAACGTTCCCCGACCCCCCCCCCCACTGGAAATGGAGGGCAAATTGAGGCCTTCGGGTTGGGTTGGGGTGGTTTGGTAGGCGGTGAAGGGCGCGCGCGCGCGCGCGTCGTATCGCCCATGCATCGGCCTTCGCGCGCCGCGCCGCGTGGGAGCGCTCTCGCCAAGCAACGACAACAATCCTGCGCGCCTCGTGGGCAGGCCGGGGCATGCCTCGCCAAGGCATCGGCCAGTTGCTGCGGGGAGCTGCTCGCTGTTGTCGCTTCGCGTGCGCGCGTCGCCTCGCCCTTGCATCGGCCTTCGCGCACCGCGCCGCAGTGCTAAGGATGCGAACTGAGGATCCGTCTCCTCGGGGCAGCGAGCTATCCCGCGCTCGTTGCGCCGCCACGCCATGCAATCTCTGCAATCTCACCGCAGCTGGGCGGCGTCCCTGCGACGCACAGGGACTCGCGTAAATAAGCGATGTTCTTCAAATCGCGTCGTCGCGCGCGCGCGTGCCGCATCGCCGTTGCAGCGGCTTCCCGGAAGACTTTGCGCGACTGTCGTCGTCGTCGTCTTTGAAATCAATATCGCCGTCTTCGTCATCGGTCTCGCCGTCGTCGGTTTGAGATCAATATGTCTTGGGCCGTGGGTGGGCGGGACGCGTCCAACAGGCTTCAAGTTTGGGCCAGTGGACAGCTAAACCCTACACCCCAAACCCTAACCCCTAAATCCTAAACCCTAAACAGGAGGACGGAGAGGACTGCTCACTCAACAGCTGGTCTGCAAGGGCTCTCTCTCTCTCTCTCTTTCTCCCTGTCTCTCTCTCTTTCTCTCTCTCTCTCTCTCTCTCTCTCTCTCTCTCTCTCTCTATATATATATGTATGTTTATCCCCTCCAAAGACCCAGTAGGTGTGTCGCTGGGTCTGGAATCGGCAGGGCGGCGTGGCCTCCCGTGGCCTCCCATTGCCGTTCTGTCTCCCCGTCCCTAGCCCTGAACCTCTGTACCTATTCGTACCCCTACCCTTTTTCATCCCTGTCCCCATCCCTATCTCCCTGTCCCCATCCCCATCCGCATCCTCGGCCCCGTCCCGACCCAGAGTCGTAGATCCCTGTCCCTGTATCCCCAGCCCTATATCGCTATCGCTGTCCCACTCCCTGTCCCTATATCCCCAGCCCTAAATCTAGGGCTCCCAACTTCGCGCTTCGCGCTGCGCGAAGCGCGAAGCGCGAATAACTTCGCGCTCTCGCGCCGCCCTCCCAAAGGGAGAATAGGAGGACGAGGAGGAGGGGGAGAAGGAACGAGGACCGCGAAGCGCGAAGCGCGAATAACTTCGCGCCCTCGAGGGAGCCCTTGTAAATCCCTGTCCCTATCGCTACATCCCATTCCGATCCCCCCCTATGGGCGCCCCACCGTGGCCTCCCATCGTGGCCCCCGTCGTACATATGCAGAGCTGCCTGGGGTCTCCTGCCGGAGGGGTGTCCTTCGATCTGCCCACGACTATTTTTTATTCCTAGGCTCCACGCTGGTGTGCCGTGCGCAGTGTGCCTGTGGCACGGCCCTGCGTGGGGCCTCTGAGGATGGCGGCTGCGGCGGCGGGGAAGCGTTGCTGCAAGAGCCCGTCGCTCCCGCCTGTGCTGAAGCGTGCGCGCAGCTATCTTGCCAGAAACGGAACTCATTCCGATCTTCACACGTTCACCCAAGGGGGGTGAAGGGGAACCACTCCGCCGATGGCACCGAAGCCCGAGCGGCGACATGGCCCCCCAACACCCCCCATCCATGGAGGAGAGTTGAACGAGGGATGGGGGGGAGGGGGAGGAGGAAGCAGGGGGCAGGGAGATGAGAAGGGGGGGGGGTAGGAAGGTGGGAGCAGGGGAGAGAGAAGGAAGGGGAAGAAGGAAGGTGGAGGTGAAGGAGCATGACGGCGGTGGGAACGAAGACACGGTCGAGAACAGAAAACGGCACAAGAAACACAACGAGGGCAAGGAGGATGGGGACGATAAGGACGAGAACGCACATAACGAGAACGAGGATGAGGAGAATGAGGAGAAGCATGGAGGAGGAGCAGCATGGGGAACAGGATGAGGACAAAGGGGAGGCGGTGGAAGAGCAAGAGGACGACGACGACGACAGGAAGGGGGTAAGGCTGAGGGTGAGAGGGACGACAACAATTGCGAGAAAGGAACCGACAGAGAAGAAGAGAGGGCGTATCCACTTGGTCTCCCGCTACCCCTTACAGTCGGGGCCTTGACCTAAGGAACCTAACATAAGGAACGAGGCCCCTTTTCTCCATAAGTTAAACTTCGATGTCCGATCGAAAACATAAGGAAAACCTGAGGCAAGCTGCGAAACACTTAAGGAACGCGGAACCCCTCCCCAACGAAAAGGGTTCCTTCTTCAGCGCCCCGACTGTATCGCATCAACACCTGACTTACAATGGCCCGAGCAAGACCAACGGGTGACCCCAGTCAACCTCACCATCGCCTCGCACGACCCACCCGCCGCCAGGACCACCTTGCCTGGCACCATCGAGGCCGACCCATGCTCTTGGCGACGGCGCTCACGTCCAGCGTTGCTTGAACTACCTCGTAGGCCTGGAGCGACGCTTGCTAGTTCGCCGCGTCTCTCCCGTGCTCTGAACGCGAGAGGTACTGCAACGCAATGTCACTGGATGTCCACGTTCGACTTCACCTTTGTCTCCAATACCTCCCTGAGCAACCACGCTGCGTGATGCCGCTCCCCGCCTTGCTCGCACATGCTGAGTCCCACGCTGTAGCTGATGACCTGTGGATCTAGAGCCGCTTCCCGGAGGCCCCGAAGCAGCGCCAACGCTTCCTGCCACTGCCCGCCTTTCTCGCAAGCTTGGATTCCAACACTATGGGCCAGGAGGCTTGGTGCAAGCTTCTGCCCCCTCATCATGCCGAGCACTATCAACGCCTGCTGCCACTGCCCGCCTCTGTCGCAAGCGCTGATCACAGCGTTGAAAGTGATCTCGTTTGGCTCCAGCTCTTCCCCCCACAGCTCGCAGAGCAAAGACAATGCCCGCTGAGAGTCGCCAGATCTGTCGCAGGCGCTGATCCCGGCGCAGAAACTGATCTCGTTTCTGTCAAACCTGGCCTCTGGCAACTCCCACAGTAAAGCCAACGCATGCTGCCATTTCCCGCCTCTCGCGTATGCGCTAATTCCAGCATTGTAGCTGATCACGTTTGGCTCGACCTTTGCTTCCCTCATTCCACTGAGTAAAGACAATCCCCGCTGCCACTGCCCGCTCTTCCCGCACGCGCTGATACCAGCATTGTAGCTGATAGTGTCAGGCTCCAGCTCAACCTCCCTTAGCTCCCACAGCAAGGACAGTGCCTGCTGCCACTCTTCACCCTTCTCGCACGCGCTGATCCCCGCGTTGTAGCTGACTAGCGTGTGCCAGTGGGGCAAATCCGAAGCTGACTTGCTCATCGAACATGGCTCAGCCAAGCTATAGGACATCGCTCCTTGTGGGGCACCTTGTGGTCTGCTTTGGCGTGTGATTGACTGGGTGAGGGGGCTCGTGGACTGTTTATGAAACTGCCGATTGCTGTCGAACACGTGGTGCTGCTCTTTCTGCTGTGTCTTGCTGCTGATGCTACTGGTTGGTGATGCTCCTAGCTGCTGATGCCGTTATCTGCTATTGCTGCCGATGATGCGTTCCGCTGCGTTGTGCCCGTTGCTTGCCGATTGCTGCTTGCAGGCTGATCCTGGCTGCTGCGTCTGGCTCTTCTGCTACTGTTGGGGGGGGGACATCGGGGCATGTCTTCGACCTCTTGGGACAGCCTGGACTGTCTTGAGGCACCAGGGGGGCTCGCCGCCAAAAAGGTAGCGGAACGCATGAAAACCTAAGGAACGACCGAGCCCCTATTGAAAAGCAAGTGTTCCTCATTCTGACTACCTACCAAACCACCCCAACCCGACCCGAAGACCCGAATTTCGCCCGAATGTCGGGTTGGGGGGGGGGTACGGGTTCAATGTGTTTTTTCAATGTTCCCCGACCGCCCCCCACTGGAAATGGAGGGCAAATTGAGGCCTTCGGGTTGGGTTGGGGTGGTCTGGTGGGTGACATTCAAGCCGCTCACTGTACAGCCTTGAGCCTTGGGCCCTGGGCCTGCTGCTGGTGAAGCGGTCGAGGGGCAAAGGGCGACAGGTAAGGAGCGAAGGGGGAGAGAGCCTCCTCCTCCTCCTCCTCCTCCTCCTCCTCCTCCTCTGCTCCTCCTGCTCCTCCTCCTCCTCCTCCTCCTCCTCCTCCTCCTCCTCCTCCTTGAAGAGAAGAGAAAGAAAGAGACCCCTTCCAAAAAAAAACGAGGAGCGATCAGCGAGGAGGGGAGAGAGCCTCCTCCTCCTCCTCCTCCTCCTCCTCCTTCTCCTCCTCCTCCTCCTCCTCCTCCTCCTCCTCCTCCTCCTCCTCCTACTCCTCCTCGACGAGAGAGAGGGAGTGAGAGAAAAGAGAGAGAGAGAGAGAAGCGAGGAGCGATCAGCGAGGAGCGATCAGCGAGGAGCGATCAGCGAGGAGCGAGGGCACAGGAGCAAGACGGAAGGAGCGACGGCCGAGGAAAGAGAGGAGAGAGAGAGAGAGAGAGAGAGAGAGAGCCGAGGAGGGAGGGGGGGGGAGGTAGGAGTAGCCGGGGCGTGAAAACGACCACAGCCACTGCTTTTCGTTTGTTGCCGCCTTCCAGCCCGCAAACACAAAGCAGTGGCTGTGGTCATTTTCGTGGAGCTCGGCACCAGGGAAATGACCACAGCCACTGCTTCTTTTTCGGCCGGCTGGAAGGCGGCGCAAACAAGAGGCGGGAACGCCGCCAATTTAGGATTTAAGCAATCAAAATGCCTCGCTGTGCCACTGGCGGGGGGCTTTTCGGAAGCGCTTGCCCATGGGTGCACTTGTTGGCTGGAGGCCCCTATTCCAGCGTGGGCCGAATTTCAGGTCGCCCCGATGCTCACTTGTTCGGGGGTCCTGTAGGGGCTGGGCGTCGCTGACCACGCTTGGCGGCTGTGGTCATTCCCCCGTCCCGCAGAGCAGCCAAGACGGAGGAGGCGGGAGCCGGGAGGCGGGAGCGTGCCAGGGAGCGAGGAGAGGGGAGCGGGGACGGAGAGGAGGGGCGAGGGGGCTGTTGAAGAGGCCCTGGGACACACAAATAAACACACACAGACAAAAGCATTCCCCATATGTTCCTCTATTCTCGGAGTTTTTGTCTTCCCCCCCCCCCACTTCCCATGTTTTCCCATCTTTTCTGGGAAACCGACGATTCATTGTGTCTGCGTTAGAGGAAAAAGATCTATGCACATACACCGATTCTGGCCAGACCCATCCTGAGCCCAGGATCGGTGCATATGCCCTCCTACCTTGGCCAGGAAGGCATATGCACCGATCCTGGGTCAAGGATGGACGTTGTCAGGATCGGTGCATGTGCATATTTCTCTTCGCCCGATGTGTGTTTCTTTCCCTCCTGAGTTGTGGGCTGGGAGCGCGGAGCAAAGAGCACGGGGCGAGCCGCGAGGCGGGGGCCTCGAGGAGCGGGCCGCGCGCGCTTCTCTCGGCGGCCTCGGACGAGCGCGTGGCAGAGAGCACCTGGAAAATTATCCTCTCGGATCGCTCACGGGGCCGCCTGGGGACTCTCTTGGGGCCTTCTCGGAAGCTCCCGTGCCTTCCCTCGGGGCTCTCCCGGGCCTCCTGGGGCCGTCCGGGCGTCCCTTGGGGCCTCTGGCTGCTGCTTCGGTGGGTCGGGGGGCTGTTGGCGAGGGCGTTGGGGTCGTCTTGGGCTGATTCTGGGCCGTGGGAGTCCAAAAGAGGTGCGGTGACAGACCGTGCGGTGACCTCGGCGTCCCAGTCGACGTCACAGCAAGGTCGGTCACCGCCTGGACTTGGGACCTTGGAGGCCCCAGTCGCCCCAGACATCCTCGGAGAAAAACCAAGTCCCCAAACCGTGCGGTCACCCCGAATCCCCACTGAAACAAGCCACACGGTGTGGTCACCACACAGTTTGGAGGCCCCCGAGGGGTCGTCTTGGGTCCGTCTTGGTCCAGCGGGGCCTATCTGGTGGTATCTTGGGGGCGGATTGCTTGAGTTCCCTGAAGCCGCAGAGTGGAGAGTACCATCCAGAAAGGACATCGGGCAGATCTTGCGCGTCTGAAGTCGAGTGGCGGGCGCCAGAAACGCTGAATCCCCCAAAACACGTCACCTCACGGGAACGCTTTTTTTCTTCCGCCGCCCCTGCATCTCCGCCAGCTTCCGGCGGCCTTCCGCCAGTGCAGGGGCCCTGGGACACACGAACAAATACACACAAATAAAAGAATTCCCCATCTTTTCCCATATTTCTGGGTTTCTGTCTTCCCCCCCACTTCCCATAGTTTCCCATACTCTCTGGGGAATCGACGAATCATGGTGTCTGTGTGTGTTGTCCCCTCCCGAGTCTTCTCGATGCCTCGAGAGCGGGCCCGATCCCGGAGCGCGCCGCATGGGCAGGAGAGCCGAGGCTCGAATCGACAAGCCGCATCGGCGATGGACACGAAGCGGATCGACGGGAATCGACAGCCGAGTCGTCAGTAATGTCATTCTACTGGCGAAGCTTTTGACGACAAAACGTAATCCAAACAAATAAATGCTTAAACGCCAAATGATCGGTACAGCGTTGGACGAATCAAAAAATGCAAAAAAAAATTGTCGAGGCCCTGGTTTTGTTTCCTGGTGGGGGAGGGACCCGAGAGTCGGGAAACATCGAACCGGCAGACATCGGCAAGCCAATAGGCCTCCACTGAGTAGCCGGATCCCGAATCGGAATCCGACATCGGACCGAGTCGGAATCGGACACCGTCGACATCGAACCGAATCGAATCGAAACCGCATCGAATCGGATCGATCTCGAAGCGAATCGGAATCGGACACCGTCGATATCGAACCGAATCGAATCGAAACCGAATCGAATCGGATCGATCTCGAAGCGAATCGGAATCGGACACTGCCGACATCGCACCGAATCGCATCGAAACCGCATCGAATCGGATCGACATCGAAGCGAATCGGCATCGGACACC